AGGGTTGGAGGCGGTTGGCTATGGTGGACGGGTGTGGGTGACGGAGGAGGAAGAAGGGTTGGGAGGTCCGGCTATGGGGGATGGACGTTGATGATGGAGGAGGAAGGAGGGTTGAAGATGGTCTGCTATAGTGGACGGGTGTGGGTGATGGAGGAAGGAGAAGAGTTGGAGATGGTTGGCTATGGTGGACGGGTGTGGGTGATGGAGGAAGAAGAACGGTTGGAGGTGGTCGACTATGGTGGACGGGTGTGGGTGATGAAGGAAGAGGAAGGGTTGGAGGTGGTTGGCTATGGTGGACGGGTGTGGGTGATGGAGGAAGAAGAAGGGTTCAGGGTGGTTGGCTATGGTGGACGGGTGTGGGTGATGGAGGAGGAAGGAGGGTTGGAGGTGGTCGGCTATGGTGGACGGGTGTGGGTGATGGAGGAAGAAGAAGGGTTGGCGGTGGTTGGCTATGGTGGATGGTTGAAGGTGATGGAGGAGGAAGAAGGGTTGGGGGTGTCCGGCTATGGAGGATGGACGTGGGTGATGGAGGAGGAAGGAGGGTCGAAGGTGGTCGGCTATGGTGGACGGGTGTGGGTGACGGAGGAGGAAGGAGGGTTGAAGATGGTCGGCTATGGTGGACGGGTGTGGGTGACGGAGGAGGGAGGGTTGGAGGTGGTTGGCTATGGTGGACGGGTGTGGGTGATGGAGGAAGAAGAAGGGTAGGAGGTGGTTGGCTATGGTGGACGGTTGTAGGTGATGGAGGAGGAAGAAGGGTTGGGGGTGTCCGGCTATGGAGGATGGACGTGGGTGATGGAGGAGGAAGGAGGGTCGAAGGTGGTCGGCTATTGTGGACGGGTGTGGGTGATGGAGAAAGAAGGAGGGTTGAAGATGGTCGGCTATGGTGGACGGGTGTGGGTGATGGAGGAGGAAGAAGGGTTCGGAGGTCTGGCTATGGGGGATGGACGTGAAAGAAGGCCCGTTGGACGTATCCTAACTCCTAGCCCCGTGCCTCCGTTTCTACTTCGGGTGCCCGGCTGCCCCATATCACTTTCGGAAGTCACTGGTCACAGCAAAAATGGGGAAGGGACCGATCTGCAGCCCACACACACACACATACACACACACATACACACACACATACACCGAATGTCACCGGGTACAGCCAAGGGTGAAGGTGGACTGCACAAGTTGCCGGAAACTGCAGCATTCACACATACACACACCGAATGTCACTGGGTACCGCAGGGGGTAAAGGTGGACTGCACAAGTTACTGGGGACTGCAGCACTCACACATACACACACCGAATGTTACTGGGTACAGCAGGGGGTAAAGATGGACTGCACAAGTTACCGGGGACCGCAGCACT